ATTAAAAAAAGTTTTAGTAAGAGTTTAACAGCACTTGCAACACAATACGGTCACATAAGTGCCGAAGAATAGAGGTGTTACAAGAGAGTAACATACACAAAAAAGGAGGAGAGACAATGGATGATAGGAGAGAAGGAGCAAACCACACCAGAGCACCCGCCAACCACCCACAAAAGCAGACGATTAAGGTTCGAATCCAAGTGGGGTACAAAGTATAAATATAATACAGCCTCCCTCCCAGAATTATTTCCTCAGTCCAGTTTGAGTCATCGTTGAGATTTTGAGTCAAGACAGGCACATCGACACGATAACAATAACAGGCATTTACGAAGGACAGTGAAAAAAAATACAAACACAAAGAGAGAGAAAAGAATGACCTCAACAAAGTAGGCTACCTTCCCTATGTCCTGTGACGAATACACATTGGAAACGACCTATTTTGTGTACAGGGTCCGCCTTCTTATAAATTCTTTTGCAGCAGTTGTGCAATAACAGTCATGGACATAAAAAGGGACCTTGATGAATCATGGAGAGGGAAAGATGGGCAAACGCATAGACTTACAGTATGTTTGTACTCGATGAAAAAGAGACTTATCTTACTTAATTGCATTGTCATTGTTTACTTTTGTTGGTGTTTCGTGCCCTTCTCGACACTACCTGGATCATTTAGTTTTAGAGACAGGCTGCTTCGATTTAAACTGTCAGGGCCAAGCCATTTCTGTTTTTGTAAGACTAAGAGTTTTTAGTTTTAGTAGAGGTTTTATGGCGCTCGCAACTGCATAAGGTCATAGAAAGCGCCAGAAGATTAGAGGTGTTACAAGAGAGTAACAAACATAAAAAAAGAGGGGAGATGAAGACGATAGATGTTTGATAGGAAAAAAGGAGCGAACCACACAAGAACACCCGCCAACCACCCACATGGGGTGGTTAGAGGAGGTGGCGAGACAACTGTGTGTAAGTGTAAGAGGAAGGTAGTGCGAGGTAAGGGCGTAACTTGGGCAATATGTTCAGCCCAGGACATCACTTTGTGCAAGTACTATCCAGGGCTGTTGAAACTACGACTCAATTTTTTTACACACCCTTTCGAGTTCATGTAAGACGGTAATGACGTCATGGAGGCCATTTCTGTAACACTTTTGCACCCGAATCTTCTGCTGGGACAGTAGGTCATTCAAACAGACTTACAGAGACTGAGTTTGAGAACAGAGAAGCGCATCAATACAACAACAGTCAATTAGGACACACAGACACAGGCAAAAGTAGAACCAACCAGTAGTGCCCCCCAAACATCCATCAGATGTCGCTTCAAAAACTTCTGGTAAATTCCTGTGCTGGCTGGCCACCCTCACACTGCTAGTTTAAGTAAGAGTTTTACGGCAATTGCAACACAATAAGGTCATATAAGTGCCGAAGATTAGAGGTGTTATAAGAGAGTAACAAACGCAAAATAGAAGGAGGGGAGATAAGGACGATAGATTTTATTTTTATAGGAAAGAAGGAGGAAACCATACCAGAGCACCCGCCAACCACCCGCACAACAACAGTCATTTAGGACACACAGACACACAGAAGAAGAACCAACCAGTGGTGCCCTAAAAACATCCATCAGATGTTGCTTCAAAAACAACTTTTGGTAAATTCCTGTGCTGGCTGGCCACCCTCACACTGCAGCCCAACAATAGAAAGAAGGGACAAGAGAAGCGTTTTACGGCACTTGCAATACACAATATGGTCATATAAGTAGCGAAGGATAAAGATGTTACAAGATAGTAACGAACACAAACAAGAAGGAGGGTAGATAAGGACGATAGACGTTTGATAGGAAAGAAGGAGCAAACCACACCAGAGCACCTGCCAACCACCCACACCCTCACACTGCAGCCCAACAGCAGAAAGAGGGGGCAAAAGAGAAGAGAAGTCTATTTAATCTGTATTATTTTCTTTTATTGATATTCATATTATCCACATAAAAAATAATTTACTGTCAGGCCGGGAGGGGCCCTCAGTTCCACTCACTTCTTGCACGGTTCTCACTCCTGGCAACTTTCATCTCAATGTTTGAAGTTATTTTCTTCATCAAAACTTTTCGCATCATGCTATCACAAGGTAAAGAGTAACAAACTGAAAGTAGGTAAACACAAGAGGCTTCCGTGAACTGACATTATGACCAGGAAAACACCACACACGTGCCCGCACACTCTTCAACATTATGACCAAAGAAAAATCGGTTGAATTGGAGGCCTCCCCAGGTGTGCGTGTGTAGCGGGGGTATGTGTGCCTGCCGGAGTGTGTCTGTATTGCAATAATATGATACTAGGAGGGTGTCCATCCCCATGCATATGTACAAGATAGGTGTATGTCTGTGCAAGTGGGTGCAAAGTGTGAATGAATGTATTGTACATCTATGTCATACTGTGTAAGTGCATTTCGACTGCCCAATGTAAGATTCCACAGACCTGCCACTCTATGAAATCTAAAAATCAGGATTTCTGAGTTAAAAAATCAGGATCTGGTGAAAAAAATCGGGATCAACGGCAAATCAGTCATAAAGGGCACTGGGGAAGGCGGGGGGGGGGGGGGGGGGGGGGGGGTCCTGGTTCCCTTGAAGCAAGTATGCAGGGCAAAACTTTGGCAGGAATAAGTTCACGTTTGGGCCTCTAAATAGAGGGAAAACTGAAAGACAGCATAATATATGTACTCGAGTCGAAGTTGGATAGACTGGGGGAGCGAAGGTCGCAGTGATGCTGAAACACTCGTAGTCTTGAAAACAGCTGACACGTAACTCTCCACGCAAAACGCCCGCTTTTTAACAACGTTCGACTTCCCTCACATCGAAAAAAAGATCGCACCAAGGCTGTTCATTTAAAAAAAAAAAATTCCTTTCCCCTTAATTAGTACCTGTATTACGGCACGCACTTTAAGCCCAAGTGTCAAAACAATACCCCCCACCCCCTCCCCCCGGCCGTCCACACTGGTTAAGTCCCAAAAACACCTCGACCAACGCGACCGGTGTGAAGGAACTTTGTTGACCCCGACAACCGACGGTCCCCGACACACACGCTACTCACGACACGTACGAGGTCATGTCATGTGATGCGAATGAGCGTTTGAAACTAGGTCGATTTTAGTTTAAATAACGTGCGTTAGTAATCTACTAGATCTAGATTCGGCATAGATGATTTAGAAAATAGCGTTCCAAGTTCCTGCAGATAAAAAGTCCAATCGGTGTTTCCAAACAAAAGAGATTGCACAACTTTTATATTTTTTCTAAGAATCGAACGCAACAGACGCAACGACAAAAAAATCAGGATACTGGCGATCGAAATCGGGAAAATCGGGATGGTTGAGATTTGAGGGAAAAAATCTGGATATCCCGATTAAATCGGGATGAGTGGCAGGTCTGTATTCCATCATATGCACTTTTCAAAATGGCATATGGCGAAGCCTTACACTAAGCAGTCCATTTGTATGCGTATTTGTCACCTAGCATTTGGGTGTGTGAGTGTCCAAGCGTCTGTGAGCGAGTGTATATGTATGTATGTATGTTTGTATGTACGTTTGCTTGTGATTGTGCGTGCCCCTGGGTACTTACAGGCAAGAGGCACACAGTTAACCACGCACACCAAGGCATATCTCCCATGGCAATACATCAACATCATGCACAAATAATTCTAAACTCCTTGAGAAAAAAGCCTTGCAGCCCCAGCCAACACAAGTAGGTCTCCTCCGCCACAGGGCCATGGGACAGCACTCCCTGCCATGAGGCACACAGCTCACAGGTGGACACTTTCTACCACATGCAACACACTCCATGCTGTCACAGCTCGCCATACGCTACTATAGTCACAACTCTGCACAACATACAAGACTCACAAGGACCATCACAACCCATCGCACAGAAATACAAAACGACCACACTGTCTTCACATCTTGTCACACAAAAAATCAACCATCACTCTATTGTCAGAACTTGGCCATTAAAAATTCAAACTGAAGACCATGTGTCGAACTATGGTCTAAAAGTTGAAAATGCCAGTAAACCTCTCCATATAAACTCATGAGAGAGAACCAAACTAACTCCTCTCTAGACCCTCAAACTAAAGTCTGTCTAGCTCTGAAATGAGAAACTTGGCGAGAAATCTTTGCATAGACATTTTCACTGATGCAAGGGCTGCAGAGCAAACAATCAAGAGTGAAAAGCTAAAAATACTTTGATAAAAACCTCTCCATACTGTATAAATTGCTAATTAAAAATTGTGTAACTCTCAGTGAGTCAGGGAGACCATGCTACAAACAAGCAGATGAGGAAAGATTTTGGAACACCAGGACATTTTATCTCATGGGTTTCAATCTAAGAGTGCAAGCATCAATGGGTTTTAGAAAGTAGATGGCAAAGGTCACCAGACAAGAAAGTCTATCTCTTCCAAGTTTAAGGAAAGAGAAGCATATTGGCACAATAACAGTCATACAATACCGTACAGGGGAAAAAAGCAAAGACAAGACAGAAACCAGAGAGATAAAGACAGTGGCACCCTCAAATAACCCGCATCAGTATCCCTGTGGATCAGAAAAGTTACCTCTTTAGATTTGAAAGTCAAACATCTTTGCATAATTTGGCGACAAAAAATGAACAGAAGTAGCAGAGACAAAATAAAAAGAATCCAAGGCACTGAATGTCCATCGCAGCCCTCGACTTCCCAAACGACATTTCATTTCAGGTCTCACTGAATGACTCGTCCAAAACCATGTCCCTTCAAGTGTTCACGGCATGAACCATCCAAAACGAAGCCCATTAAATCCCCGGTAAATTTGTCAAAAACTAGTCTCTTGAAACCAAACCACACCCAACTTAATCACTCGAGCACAAATCACAAACCAATCACATAGTCCAAACAATCATTCAGATACAAATCACATGGCCCACTCGATCATTTACAAAAATCACAATGCCTACACAATCATTAGCACATCACGTAGCCCACACAATCACGAACCAGTCATCACATTGGCCATACGTTTATCACATAACCCAAACAATCATTCAAGTACAAATCACAATGCCCAAACAATAGTTCACATACAAATCACATAGCCCACACAATCATTCAAGTACAAATCACATAACCGACCCATTCACTCGGTCTAATAGGGACCTAAGCACAGAGCACACATGAGAAATCACTGTAGTGGTGGGAGTTGGAGGACCATCTGATGTCGCCACTTGCTTTGAGTCAGATCGTGGAGCTGGGACAGACAGACGGCATCACTCACAGCTTGCGTGCAGGTCTACAGGGAGACCAAGGCCTTGTGTTAGTGCAGGTAGTCGAGCACACTGGCAAACGCACAGGCTCCAATGCCAGACTTGGACATGAGTCGCATGCACTGGCCGGCCTGGGCAATGGTCAGTTCCAGTGGGGGTTGCTTGGGCAGGCCTTTACACTCTGTGGACATACAGTCATGGACAATTAAAGTAGGTACCGCAGGCGAGCCGTTTTCAAGGCAGACAGCTACGGCTGGGGCCAGATTTGGACGACAACATCCAACTATTAGCTGGTTTTAATTTTGGTAAACACTAATAAAAATTATACCACTGTTTTCTGTGTCTTTCCTTCTCCATGGTGAACGAGAAACTGATACTTATGATTGCATATTTAGTTTTTAATTGACTAAAGTTTAACACAGGAAAACTCGGCCGTCTCGCAATTTTGCGCGCTTAGATTTGGGGGGTACTTGTTTTAAATTTCGATTTCTCAGTCGTGAATCATCGAATTTTCTTGCGGTTTGAAACATAAAAATCTGGGATTCCAGGAGAATTTCAGGGAAATGTGTTTATGTTTTTATTCCGAGCGGAAAGCTTGAGTGGTACGATGTAAAGACGAAGAAAGCATTTTAAAATATGAAATTCGACACAAATCGGGCTATCCGTGCCAGGATCATATTCCTAGACATCTCTACCATCAAGTTTATGTGTTTAGAAAAGCCAACTACGTTCCACGAAGTAGAATTATTACTTTTTCTGAAGTAGGGTAACAACCTCTTTCGGGAGATCGTCATTCTGCCATTGCGGCTGTTCCATCGCCCAATGCCACCCCCTTTGACTTGACCCAACCAGCAGACGATTATTATGATGGTTCAGTAAAAGAAACATTCGATAGATCTGTTTATGGCGTCAATTTATGTAAGTATTATCACAATTTTCTTTTAGGATACTTATGAACATCGTGTTTTGAAAAATAAAACTAATCGGCCACCACTTGCCGTGTGGTTGGATTGTTATTGTTTGGTGGGAATCACGCCGACCTACATTTTCCCCACCTCATAGTGAATTAATTGCGATCTATACAAATGTATCGCTTCGTGGTGGTATTTTTGCTGTCTTTTCAACTAAGAACATCTTATTTATTCTAAATGCATCGAAATCTAAGCATCTCTGGTCGACAAAGTGAAAGAATAAAGCCGTGAAGAGTTGAACTGGGGGTTCTATTTATAGTAACATGTCACCACACACTACTAAATACTCGGAAGGGGGTTACCGGGTGTTAGTGTTACCGATGGAAATGTTCGTAGATCTATTGTTTGGCATTTAATTCGGTAACAAAAAAGGCTAGATCTACGTTCTTGATTGGTGGATATATTCAATTATTGAATCAACCAGCCTTTTTACGTATTCTTAGACTTAGACTTAAATGTCACCTGATAGGCCAATTGGAGATGCCCCCCCCCCCCCCTCCACTCTTTCTTCCATCCACTTACTGGACACACGATGATACATTGTATTTCCCCAGCCACTGGTTTCTTTCTCAGCTAAAATGATAAATAAATCTAGAACTAGATCTATATTATAAAAGATGAACCACGTAGAACAGTATGTTGATTTAATTCAAATTTTTAAACCCCCTGAGCAGAAATCTTTATTTTCTGAACCAATATTGACGACTTTTTCACATTATTGTCCATATCTGAAATGTTTGGAAGGTTTTTTTCTTTCTATAAACTAATTCACTGTACAGAGCCTGAAAAGAGCTTTAATTTGATATATAATTCAACCTTGTAGCACAATTTGTTGATTTTATATGAATTTTTTTCCAGTCGGCAGACGTTATAATTTTCACTCAATAATGGCAGGTTTTTGGGCATTAGGGCTCTATTATGGAGTGTTATGAGAGGTTTTGGTAAACAGTTTTCATTTGGCCCCGTAGAGCTTGCATTGAGCTTTAATTTGATGTATGATTTAGCCCTGTAGCTTAATTTGTTCACTTGTTGTGATGCTTTTTGCCCGAGGATGTTCCAGAATTCCCCTAATTTTTTTCCAAGAGGCGTTTTTTGCACCGAAGCCCACTTCAGAGGAGTCCAGAAAAGTTACTTATGGTCAGAGAGGTCTGAAAAAAATTCAGCTAAGTCTATGCATGTATTTGTAATGATTGTGTGATTTTCACAAATGAGGAGGCAGTTTTGACTAATTTGGAAGAGGTTAAAATAGGGTTCTGAGCTCTTAATGACAAATTTTGGCATTTATTTTCAATTTTTGAAGGCCCATATCTTGGAAACCAGTCATTCTAACATGCTTTGAATTTAGAGATATCAATATTTGTGTTGACAGCTCTGGGAAAAACAAAGTTTTCATTGATTTGATCATGCACTTTGTATTTTATAACACCTCAAACATGGGTGAAAGTCACCGTTGAAAAGGTTTCGTTCAAAAATAAAACTTTGAAATACCATATCTCGATTGTTTACTGATGGATTTTGATAATTCTTTTTTTAATGTTCTTGTTTCATAAAGTAGATTTGAACCCCTGAGGTTTAAACGTCAATATTGTTCAAAAAATTTTTCGCTTGTGGTACCTAATTAAAGAAGACTTCTTAACACTTCAAGGACAAAGTGGACAAATATGTTCGACTTTTACTTTACTTTTTCGATAGAGCGGCCATTTGAGTTCTAGCCAACACATGTTCGACCAAAGCTAATGCAGCAGCACATTTTGAACACAAATTTGCATACTTCATAACAAAAAACCTATCCACAAGTGAAACATTTACAATTAATATCCAAACATGTCTAGACTTATCAAACATTTGATCGAACTACAAGTAAAACATTTATAACTGTCATGTAACGGACCAGAAACAGATACACAGTATTGTCGGTGCCGCAAGCAATCCATTTAAGTCTGTTTGGGTACTTCTTACACCCGAGACAGAAAATAGTTTGCTATTTGTTCCTATCAGGAATAATGAAAAGCAAGAATATCATAAACTATGTCCACAGCATTAAACAGCATTTTGGTGATGTTGAAAGGTGCATCTTTGACAGAGCTTTGGGGGGGGTAAAAATTGAAAATTCTCAAAATCAAGAGGATAGCTTGCCATAGCCACGATATACAACTGTTCTACATTAGATCTAGTTTTCGTTTACTTGAAATCCTAGAACTTTCAAACAATGAGTTAGCTTCCAAATTTTCACGACTCCAATACTTTTGCATAACTCAAACGCTAGTCATGAAATACACACGGTCATGGAAATAAGACAAAATGAGCAGAAAAAGTAGCTCAAGTAAGTACAAGTGAAACTCACATCTAACAAGTAGTTGCACCTGACCTTAAATTTAGTTGAATCTCTGGGGTTTCAGTGAAAGAAACAGTGACTTACTTAAGCATTTTAAAAATCGATAACAATAGGGACGTCAGTTCTAAATTTAAAATGAATCACAGTCTGAGCGTACAGAGAAAGAACAAAAGAAGCATCAAAACCCTTGCTTTTCAACAAGTGGTTGTTTCTCTTGATACAGCTTCACAGCATTAAAAAATTAGAGTACCGCTGAGTCATATACTGAAAAACCCCTGAGTACCGCACCGGTTTAGAAGCCAACAAAATAATTAGGGTACGTTACAAAAAAATTCATTGAAACAAAAGTCATTGACAGAATTACATGAAAATTTCAAGATATATTCAGAAATAAATGTACTGTATAGAAAAACCTTTTTTGCGACAAATCAACATCAAGATAAACTCCCATTCTGTTTGGAGAGGGTAGACATGCCCACCTGAATTTCTATCACCTGTAGGCCTGGACCCACCAACATTACAAGATCTAAAACACGAAGAAACACGACGAACTGGAACATTTATGAATCTGTCTATGTCAGTCAGGCTCTACATCAGACAAATTGTCAAGGTAAGACCAACTGTCATCAATACAATCACTAAGCTCGCCTGAATCTAGCGGAAACGCTGAAGCCATGGTAGAACAAAAAATATTTTTTAAAAACCTTCACAGCTTAAGAAACACGCTAAAAAAGTTCGAAGCGCTACATCAATGATTCAGCTATCATATAGAGTGATTTCCCTTTATATTTACTTCCGTGGAGAAGTTCCATCTGTTTTGTGTGCCTGGTCGAGTCGGCGACAGTCGCCAGCGGTACTGAGCAGAAATTACCGGCCAGAAGTACTATAACAACATTTTTTAGAACAGGAATTTTTGTCTTTTCAGCTTCGTGTCCCTCGGTGTTAGCTGATCTTATAAAGTCTTTCAATAAAGCCGATAAGGAGTTTGGTGCAATACTGATCAAAACAAATTTTGCTCCTTAACTTCTTAATTTTTCTTTTTTTGGCTTCCCCAAACAAAAAGTTGTTTTAAAAAAAGACTACTTTTCCGTCTGTTTACTATCACACTGAATACATCCTGGACTTGGACTAAACTGACCTCGAAAACTGAAGCAGTGCTACAGTATACACTGGACCACTGAGTGCACACGTTGTAAAAGCACATTAATCTCAAATTCTCTTGCATCTATAAAAGCTTCTTTGCCAAGCAATTCAAGTAATAAAATATACGGACTAACTGTTATGGCCAATTTTAACAAGGTCTACAAAATGTCTGGTTAAACAGGACTCATTATGTAGATCTATTATAATCACTGTTCAATAGCCAAGAAAAAAAATTGTAACATGTCAGCACAGCACCTCTGTTGATGATTCACAGCATGCAAATTTTATAGTAATATGAGTAAAAATAAGTAATTAAACCACTTTTGGCCATTTAAAAAGAAAAGGGTGGCTGCCAAAGCAACTTGAGTCACTTAGTTCAAATTTAACACTTGACGCGGGCTCAGCCTAATTTAACATCTGGATTGAGACATTGAAAGCAGCACCCAGCATGAGACTGGCCGAATTTAGCACCTGGAGAAAGACTCATTGAATGTAGTGCAAGCTTGACACTCACCTAATATAGCACTGTTGAGAGCTGCACAGACAGGCTCTCGCTTCACGGGTAACAACTGACTGCCAATCGGACTGTTCCACGGGTCTGAGTATGCGAGCAAACTGAAGGCATCCTGAGGGAGAGTCAACAGTTCTACCTGTAAAAATGTCACCTAAACGATCCCACAGATTTGCCTCAACAACCCTTCATTTCAATGACCCCAGTTTTGTCTCTAAAAACTTCACATCCCCATGAGCCTATAGTTTTGCTTGTACAAGTTTCATTTTTATGATCCACCACTTCTTCCTGTACAAACTTCATCTGAAATATAATGCAGAAGTAAAAATACATGGTACAGAGGTATCCACTTAACAACAACCTAGATAACAGCAACCTCTGCCAAACAGCAACCTAAGCTTGTGGAACAGAATTTTTCCGATTAAAACATTTTTGAAGATTCAAAAACCACCATGAACACAGACACTGGCCTATAATTTCAGTGTGTGTGTACATCCCTCGTCAAAACAACTGCCCAGGCCCAAAATGCACTATGCTGAGTACAGGAGTTTGGTTCACACCCTCACCTGTAGAGCTCTCTTGTTGGCCTCACTTTTGCCAAACTCCTTCCTCAACCTTTGACTCATGACCTTTAACTCGCGACCAAATGTTAGCATTTTCTCTATGGCTGCTTCATTGCCCCCACACATCTGTCGACGTTGAGATGGGCCGTCTACATCTGTAAAGGAGAACAAAGTTTCAGTCTCGAGTCACAAAAAGTTCACAAAAATGCCAGCTCTTGTAATTGTGTGACCCCCACTGCTAACACCAATGGTGAATTTCTCAGTCACTGTGTATTTTGTTGTGCCTAAGAAGAACATAAACATATATAAAACAAAACTTTTTTTCAGGAAATTCAGTATCTTACAAGAGGAACCATACAAGTTTCTCTTTGAGTTACAATATTTGTGCTTCTCAAGAAGAAGCAGAGATGGCAAAAAGACTGCTTTGTTATGGTCTTTAACTGGAGGTTCGTTTTTTAGGTATTTTCCCAGTTGTGCAGTACAGTGATAGAACATGTTTTAATAAATGTCACCGACTTTGCTTTGATGAATTTATTACAGAAATTCGGGTGCAGAGTTTAACCGATGAGTTTGTGAACCTTTGCACCACCAAACAATCACCATACAGAATGTCACTTGTAATACTGAAGTAATGTCCTAATTTAATGACCTTGTACGTCATCCTATATGAAGTTACATCTGGGATCACTGAAACATAGTAAGATTTAAGAGGTAGTTATGCTGAGAACCAGTTTTCAATTTGTGTAGTTTTTATGCATTGTTTTATAAATTAATTGGATATTCCCAGAGAAACAAAAAAACAGAATCCATTTTTGTCACGTTGCAGTAATTTTGGGTTCAGTAACTTGTTCATGGGTTGTGATATGCCCCTTTTATAATTCACAGAACACTGTAAAACAAAACATTCTTACCACAGAATATTGAAATTTCGCATACAGTCTCAGTCAGTTAATGTCTGTAAAGTGAAAGGATAATTTTCTGCAACTTTGCATAGTTTTTGAATGAAAACATAATTTCCAAATCCCTTCTTTTACTATCCAAAAGCAATAACATTTGTACATTATAGCTTTTCTTTTTTCTTAAAAGGATAATTTGTCAAAACACTATAGATTAATCAACAGAGACAATCATTCACCCATGTCCCCCCAACTATAGACGGCAACAACAACAAAAATATTAAATCAATGTCCTCCCACTATAGACAAAAAAGGCATATGTCCTACCCATGTCCTCATCGTCCTCACAGTGTGATGAGTTCCCGTTGAGATGAGAATTGCCGTTGGACAAGGTGCTGGAGTGGTCTCCCTCGTCAGACAAATCCATCTCCTCGGCCTGAATGAGACGGGGGCCACCGTTCATGGCCATGTGATCTCCGCTGGCCGCACTGTTGGCCGAGTTCATCATGGCCTCCTCCTCCATGTGGGCATACTCTGTCTGGTTGTTGGCCTGAGCACCGCCGCCACCACCACCACCACCGCTACTGTTATAGCTGTTGCTATGCTGTTGCTGGTGCAGACTGGGCGGAGGACAAGAGGCCGGGCTCGGGTGTTGTTTTCCTGAAGCCGACGCTCGACTGGGACTGTTGGAGCTGGAGCTGCCAGGGCTACGATGATGCTGCTGTTGATTATAATGGAAGGAGTGCTGCGTTTGCTGTGGGAACTGCGGGGTGGTGGGTGGGATGGAGGCCTGGGCGTGCGGGCTGTGGGAAGGACTAGAGCGACTGCTGCCCTCACCCGACTGGTGGGACTTTGGGCTACGGCTGTGACTGGCCGGCCCATAAGGGGAGACACCTCCACGCACTTCACTGTCCGTCCCATTGACCATCTCCACAAACTGCCGGCACTTGAGCATAAACAGGAGGTCGGGCTTAGCTTCCAGCAGCTTCGGGTACAGAGATTGGGTGGATTCAATGGCCTCCCCCATTCGACCTGCCAGGACTAGTTTCTGAATACCTGAAACACATGATAGCAGTGGATGGATTACGTCACTAGAATACAGATAGTGTAGAATTTTTAATACACAGCGTAAAGTGGCCAACCACATGATAGAGAGGAAAATCCCCATTAACTTGTCATTATCATCCCCTCCCCCTCCCTCCTCAAAAAACTTGATCTTTTTCTCCCTTAAGTACCTGCCATGTACAAAAAACAGTAACACATGGCATCTTTAAACTCACGTTGTCTGTTTCTTATAGATTCAATGTTTTCCACCACTGGCTGGTTGGTGGACTGGCAGAAGGCCTCAGCGGCTGAGCAATAGCCATGGTGGACCAAGTAGGTGGACACAATTCTGAGGACACAAGGAGGAAGGCCAAGGTCATGAGTGTGTGCAAAAAGAGGGAAAGAGAGAACAGAGATTTTGTTCGAGTAAAAGATTTAACACGCTGACACAAAAAGTCCTCTGGTGCAGGAAAAGGGTGGGCCTACTGCAAAAAGACAAAAAAAGAGAAGTAGTAAGGAAAAAAGAACCACTAGTGGTGTCCTTCAGTCACCAGCAGCAAGAGGAATGAGGTAAAAGGGAGAAAGCAGACCAGCATACTCCTTCATGAACAAAGTGATGGAAAAAGGCAGCACACTCACGAGCTTGGAGGGGGGTTACGCGAGATGACTTCAGCTCCAGTTTAACTAGGTAGTTGGCAAATCTTAAGTGAGGTGAGAGACAGTGGAAGAGAGATAAAGAGGAAGAAGTAGGGAAGATGAGAGTGATCAGGAGCATGGACACAGGAGACAGCTAGATTGTACATTTGTATGTGATTTATATATCTCTCCCCCCCCCCCCCCCCCCCCAACAATTAAAAAAAACAAACAAAGGACGACACACAATTGTGTCTGTCTACAGCTGCCTGAAATCCCTGTGAGCATAACAAACAACTGTCAACACACTAGTGTACCTGTTTAAAGCTGTCTGGAACTCTCCCCTCCGGTCAGACACAGGGAACCTCTCGATGGTTAACTTTGTTTTGACCCTCCACTCCTGGGAGGAAACACAGGTAAAGGCAAAAGTTCATTTCCAGAAATACTCCTACGATCTCAAACCAGACTATTTTATTGTGGAAGCTTTAACAACACAAAATCCTTTTAAAATGTTACTGATATGCGCGTCTTATAATTTATGCTGTTTTCATGAAAGTCTCTTCAGTAAAATGTGTATGCTTTATGTGATGTGGGCCAATGGCCCTAAACATTGAATACAATACCAACCTACCTTCTACATTCTTATGAACACTTTCTCCTCCCAGGGTTCCGAGTCCTGTTGCTCCTCCTCTTTCTACATACTCATTAACATTGTTTCTGCATTATCAAAACTACGTGAAAAATGTTTCCCTTTTCCATGGAGAGAGTACACTCAGTTTTTTTTAGTTTTTGTAAGTGTTTTTGGCACTTACAACACAATAAGGTCATATAAGTGCTGAAGATTATAAGTGTTACAAGAGAGTAACAAACACAAAAAAGAAGGAGGGGAGATAGCGACGATAGGTTTTTTTAAAGGAAAGAAGGAGCAAACCACACCAGAGCACCGGCCAACCACCCATGGTTACACTCAAAGAGTTGGAGCATTCTTTTATAGACAATGACAAATTTCTGTAGGTCAAAACAAAGTTCTGACCCCCACAAGGACACAAGTGTCAGCAACAGCTCACCTCATTATCATGGAGCAAACTTAAGACTGGTACACATCTCTATCAACAGATTAACATAATATAGTTTTCGTTTTTCGTTAGGTTTTACGGTGCTTGCAACTGAGATTAACATAATAACAGTGACAACAAGTAGAGAAAGGCCTACAACAACAGATATCTCTTGCAGACCCATTAACAATCCGCATCCCTGCAAAGGAAGACCACAAGATATAAACCCCATTGTCAAGGCACCATTGCCTGGCTCACCTTCATGTAGTCCTCAATGTCAAAGACAAATGGAGCTTGTCCAAAGTTTGCCTCCACCACCTCGCCGGGAGTCTGAAGGCCCACAGTCGGGTACAAGTTGGCCTGTCCAGAAGTCAAAAGATAGTCATTATTATTTTATTATATTTTGGTAAGTGTTTTACTGCGCTCATACTGCATAAAGTCATATGAGCGAGCCGGACACATCAAACATTTTCAGTTGGTAGGAAATTTTGAATTTTGCCAGGGTGGTGGCCGAAGCCAACTCTTCTTAAATATGGACCACCAAGGGATCTTTAACGAGCGCAACTTGCAAACAGGACTTCCGAGATTTTTCACCCTTGTCGGAGAAGGCAAGGTGTTGATCTTACCTACCAGAAGATCAGGGGTGTGCCTGAAAAAGAGCAGTAAGAAGGAGCCAAGGAGAAGCAGAAGAACGGCTGCAGAAAGAGTCAGGAGCCAAGAGGAGGGGGCAGAAAGTGAATATGAAAGCAGACAACAGAACATTGCTAGAGGGCAGGAAAGGAGGTGAAAGGAGAAAATTTTAGAGAAGAAAATGTTTGCGTCACTACCCGTATTTGAACCTGGGACCTTTTTTTTTTGGTAAGTGTTTTACGGCGCTTGCAACTCCATGAGGTCATATGACGCACGGGACACATAATTTTTAGTTAACCTGGGACCTTTGAACGAGAGGTAAACACCTTAACCTCTAAGCCATGAGAGCCCCCATAAAGAGTCAGTGAAGAGGTCGCAGCAGTAGAGATCATGTACCAAATAGAGATCTTGTTTGTGTGAATAAACAGAACCACATTAACAAAATAACAGTCATTTAGCACTGGGAAAAACAGACAATAAAAACAACAGAAAGAAAGAAAAAAAGAACGTACCAGTAGTGGCCTGCAACTTCCCATAATGGAGAGATCACAAAAACAGGCGGTGAGGAAATTATAAATACAGCACAGTGGTCATAGACAGATGTTCAAACAAATAAGGATCTCACAGTACCACATAGGTACAGGTATTTGTAAAACCGTTTGTCTTTTTTGACAAATGCTGAGGCTTAAACTACTCAATATGACCAAGATTCCTACAGACAAGAGCCAAAAAGCACCCCCCCCCCCTCCTCCAGAAAAACCCTCCCCAAAAGCGATTATATATGAAACATATAAATATTACATCCATTAAAAACCTACACAGAATTTTTTCCTCCCCCCCCCCAACCAAATGACCTTAAGCACTATACCTGTGCCAGGAGAGAAACTTTTATCTGCAAGGGTATATCTACAAAAAAAAATAGCATTCACCCCTCTCTGTTTAAACAGACTATTATTTAGAAATTGAAGATGACAGTTGGAACATCAACTTCGCATGGACACCCACTCAAGTGACAACTAGAGCACGTGATTTGCTTGCTGTAACGTAGCTGCACCTTTTTTACTTAGCCCATCACAACAGCATCAGTAATTTACTATTTTAACTGTTGAACTTAAAGCGTAATGCAGCGGTACCCCCATAGTTATCTAAACACACAGAGGTAACTCACCGGAAGATCTGTGAAAGCAATACCTGAAAGGGCAAAGGAAAAATAAAGATAAAATAAACCATTGCACATTGGTTACTCTACATGTAAATTGTTGCTACAATCTGTTGAATCAGCTATTAAATAGTAAAGTCTACATGAACTGTTGCTACATCAAATCATTCAGTCTACACCACGGGTCAGCAACCTTTTCAGCCAACTAGGACACTCAGAGCTTAGAGAAGACCTGCTAAGCTGGGGGGAAAAAAAACAAGGTGTAAAAGAAAGAACTTTCAACCATTTGAAAATAGCAGTGCGCCTAATGGCAATGACAACTATAACATTATATACGCACACGTAATTTGACCTCGATTTGTTTTTTTAATGTCTGCCTTGGTCACCAGCAACAGTTTTAGAGCAAGTATGTGTTATCAAACTTTTGAAACAAATGATTTACAATGTGAAGTGATGCAGATAGGGGGTGTCAGCATATCATCAATGATATCAATGATGCATACCTTGACCTCAACTTGAACCTGACCGGAAGTGCCTTTTTGCAAAGAATGAAACAATGTATATGATAGTCAAGGTAAAGCTAATTAGGCCGGACGTTATATCAAAATAAGTAGAGGGGAGTTAGGCTGAATGAAAATGCTTAATAGGCTGGAACTGGCCTCAAGGCCCAAGGCTGCTGACCCCTGGTCGGCACCATCAGCTGATAAAATTAATAATCAGACATTGGTTAGTGCGCCGCATCAGCTACTACAGTTGTCAGTAATCAGACTGGATAGTGTACACCATCCGCTGCTACAGGCTACATAGAATGGGTACTAACTATCAAGACATCATCACAATGGGTCGCTTTTAAGCACAAGGGGACTATCCCGATAAACGCTGTTTTGAGAAAATCGAAGGATAAGTTTTTGCCCCTTGTTCAGTTTCTTTAACATACGAGAGTTTTCTCTATAACAAACAAATAATAATATACACACCAATCAAACCAAACTTCTCCTATAGGTAGGGCAATGTCTACTTTTGGTGTAGGTCAAGATTTCCGGAAACCCCCGAAATCTCGGTTAGCCCACTTGTCCTTAAAAGCGACCAATTAACCGGAGCAGGTGGTTCCCAACTGCACTGAGACAGACACTGCACACTGAGGCAGTTCTCCAGTACACTGCAACAGGTCTTGCACACAGGCACCAATTTTAGAGAACTGATGAGACAATTTGATAGCAAAGCCAATCCTCTGCGGGGTTCTCTTTCTAACATGGACTGAGATAAGTCCTGAAAAAGGGACCCTGCTTCCACTAACATAGGCTTGTCAGTGGCATAATGGTACAGATTCTCTGTATTTACATGTACCTCCCAGCTCCATTCCTTTTAATTTCCTGAACAATAGTGAGCTCATAAATAGATGACTTATTAATTCTAACAAAGTAGAGCCCAAGGGGACAATTTTTAGTTTTAGCAAGACACAAACCAGAGCCCATAAATCCCAAATGAACTTATGTTTGCAGACGACCAATGTCTTATTCATCCATACCAACAAAGCCCTAAAAAAACAACAACACTGAACAACAGCTGAGAGAAATTTGACATGAGAATAAGCACATCAACTCAAAAAGCCAGTGGTTACCTATCAGCTCGCATCTCTTCTATCTCACCCAAACATCTCCATGGACACAAAGAGACAGCTTATCACTTCAATATTTATACCAACATATGCTACCACTGCCAGACCTGGACAGATGCAAAATAAAATGTCTTCGCAAAACCCTTAACATTACAAGAAGAGACAGGCAGAGAAATGTAGAAGAAAGAGCAACTATTGGCACAGAGTGCTGCTTGCACTTCATACAAAAAAAACAAAGAATAAAATGGTTTGGCCACCTGTTACGAATGTCACCTAGCCAGCCAGCCGAAGGAGCCTTTAACACCAAGTACTCAGGTTATACAGGAAGAGGAAGGCCACACAAAAGATAGATTGAGGAAGTAAAGGGAACCCAGGGAAATCATAACATCCCAATTGAAAGAGATGTGGAGCTGGCCTACCATAGAAAACTGCATCTCCCCTCAACACTTAACGACAACAAAGGATGAAAAATTAAAAGCAAAAAGTAAAGAAGAGTTTTATTGCACTTGCAACATAACATGTGTCAAAAATTAAAGGTGTTACTAGTGAGTAAAAAGCTAAAAAAAAAATAGAGATTGGGAAGACAGATGTTTGATAGGAATGAGGGGGCAAACCCTACCAGAGCACCCACCAACCACTTACAAGGTGCTAATTGTGGTAGAGACACTTATCATACAAGAGATCTACAAGGTACGTACCTAGATTGATACCATTCTTAGTGTAGAAGCAGGTGTTGTCAATGAGGTTCACACAGCAGCCAATGGTGTCCCCTGAGGTGAATGTGGGCCCGTACGTCTGCCCTGACCCAGTCGAACAGAACGAGTTGCCATCGTCGCCGTGGTAACCATAAGAATGTTTGTCCCATCCTGGTAGAAAAATCGAATACAATGTTGGTCAAGGTATGTCATTTATAATAATGCATTTCAGAAATTATTGACTGTAGTTGTTAAATAGTTCAGTTCTACACCCAGTAACAAAACAAAATCTCACTAACCTCAAGGTCTGTGATCTGCAAATTTGAGAATCTGGAGCCTCAGACCTCGTGTCCATTGTAGCCCACGTCACAAAACATCGAGCTTAGGTAAGAATCATATCAACACTATAACAGTCATTAAGTATACAAAAAAAAGGCAAGACATATATATGGAAGGGAAAGAAAAAAGTAGGACCTACAAATTGTACCCTGCAATCATCCACACAAAAAAGCTGACACGTTGAACAAATATTCTACAAACAGCCAGTACAGCTCACACAAGTCTTTTTTTTTTTTTAGTAGAGGTTTAGTTAGTTTAGTAGAGGTTTAACGGCGCTCGCCACAGAATACGGTCATATGAGCGCCAGAAGATTAGGTGTTACAAGAGAGTAACAAACATAAAAAAGAAGTAGGAGAGATAAGGACGATAGATGTTTGATAGTAAACAAGAAGCAAACCACACCAGGGCACCCGCCAACCACCCACTCACACAAGTCTCAAACAGTCCACACAATGCACATGTGTCATAGAACAGACAACAAAATCCATATACGACACAAACAGCAAAGCGCAAGGTATACATGTCATAAACTAAAGACAAGATGCACATGTGCGACAAAAACAGCTGACATAATTCAGCAACATTTCACAAACAGCTGACCCAGACCACAGAAATTTCACAATGATATGACACAGGGCCCTCACATATGAGTTTAGTTTTAGTAAGAGTTTTACAGCACTTATACCTCCCATATAGATGGCACACTGCACACATAGTTCATAAAGAGTTAGGACTAAGAATTTTTTTAAATAGATTTTTACGGTGCTCACAACAGCATAAGGTCATATGAGCGCCAGAAGATTAGAGGTGTTACAAGAGAGTAACAAACATAAAAAAGAAAGAGGGTAGACCTGCATGTGAGCCTCAACCAGATTGTCTGAAAAATTTGCGCATCCCCCCCCCCCCCATATAACAGCTTTTGTGGGTGTCATTTAGGAGGAAGGATTTCCGAGTAACAAGCGACCACCCCAACAAACACAATAAAGAAGAGACTTAACCCTAGCCCTACCCCTACCCCTACCCCAAAAAAGAACCTGCAACAGGCCTCATGTAAAAAGGCAGACACAAGTCCAAAATGAAAAAATAAACAAAATTAAACAACCACACTCCAAAACAAACAAGGAGTTTAATATGGCCTACATCTAGATTCTAGCTACATTGCTATAGTAGGGTTTGATAAAATAACACAATAGAATTGGAAATGAATCCTCCATATATAGATCTAGATCTAGTAAATAGTAATCTAAATAAATCTAGATTCTAGATCTAGATCTCTAGATCTTGTAGAACAAGTGAATAGAAATAGGCCTTGAACTAGAAATCCGCATCCGATTCCGAACAGAGGGGCTCAGCTGAGTCTAGATCTAAATTCTAAATAAATGAATAATTCACGCACCTGATCTATCTCTACCTGATGAAATGCTTTTTACCAACATTAATAATAATATTACAGCACAACCTATGATAGGGTTTGACCACAGAATTCTACACTTAGTAGTAGAATTCTGTGGGTTTGACACAATAGAATTGGAATATGAATCCTCCATTGAGGTCTATAATGTTCTATATAAACCTAGATCTAGATCTAGAACAAGTGAGTCGGACTTGAATGAATCCATGTGATCTGAACAATTGAATTAGTCAACAAACGAAAAATGGCCGCTCGAGCACGAAACTGAAAGTAGATAATTTGGGTCGTCGTCCTTTTTCGTATTCGCATTTCTACTCAGGTTCCGACAATTATGTCGGAAACGCCGACGTCGGCACGAAAACGAAAGTGCCGACAAAGCCGACGGGAGAAAAAGGGGGCGCTGGCAGTCGGCCAGGCCTCGCACTACGCACATTGACTGATACAGGAGGGCCTAGCGATAGCATTGGCCGGCTCGCGGGTCCGGTCGCGATTGTCGGATTTCAGACGATTGTCGGCAAACATGCAGGTCTAAGAGGGGAAGATAAGGGCAATAGATGTTTGATAGGAAAGAAGAAGCAAACCACACCAGAGCACCCGCCAACGACCCACTGACTAAGAAAACCACACAAACTTTGGGCAATAAGAACTGATATGGCACAAACAGATGACGGCACGCAAAAACATTTCACAGAGAACTGACACAGTATATATATGACACAGACAGTTGACACAACACACAGGCATTTCGTGAAAACACTTGTCACAAGATGCTGTCAGCTGTATCACTCACCAGGCAACCTGTTCATGTTGACTCCCTGAGCAGAAAGTCCAATACCCATGTAGCTGTTGAAATAAAGAACAGTTATGAGAGAGGAAATCTCAGCCTGCACATGCACCGCACAAATGAGAATTACATTGAATTAAATTGCTTAAAAGATATGAAATAAATTTGAAAGAATATTTCAATTTTTTTTCTACCATACTGAAAAATGAAACAAATGTCTGGGATCATATTATAGACATAGTACCTGTACATCGTAATGTGGATCTGAGACAATTTCTCAACACACCAAATTGCAACATGAATCTAAGAAGTGATGATAATAGCAAAGGGCTAAAAAGAGAGAAATTTTGCGAGACCACACAATGCATACAAATTAATACTCAAATACCTATTACATGCCTAAACGCACGCCATACAAAAGCACACTCCGCTCAAACGCATGCTTATGTCATATGACCATTTTTTTACTACATAATTTAGACGTACAAACGTACGGTCACTCCCTCTAAACGCACGCTCCGATCCACGTTTTGTTTTAATAGAGGTTTTACGGCGCTCGCAAGTGCAAAAGGTCATACGGGAAAGGCCTAAAGACACTTTAATCAGTGGCACCGCTCCGCGAAACACACAGACAGGTAGAGCTTGACAAAGGGAAGTTTTCACTACAACCTGCACAGCTTGCATAAGACAAGCCTAGAAAACCATATATTTGGTGAGACTGCCACTCTCATTTCGAACAAAGAGAGTGATGGACTGCGTTTTCACACCCAACTTTCCACAGACAGTACAAATGACATAGGTCTATGAGTCTATGACTGGTCAGTGGAATGTTGGGGGGGTTGAGGGACTGAAATGTTTTTTGATTGGTCACAGGAAATGCATCTGTTTGAAAGTTTGAGAGACGGTTTCTGACTGGTGTTTGGGTGACAGCATGTCATGCAATGTTTAATTAGACCTTGACCTATGATGCGCCACATGCGTGAATGCTGCAGTTCACCAGATAGGCCTCTTTAGGATTAAAGATTAGTCAAGTAAGCCTAATCAGCAGCGCTCAAAGGTTTTATAACATACTTGTTCAATGAATCACAAGAGCAATGTTTATCTGAATGTAGAGATCTATGATTCTGATCTCATCTATGGATTTACAGTCAGGGTTGGTCACTTGGAAAGCAACGTAGCCGGGCCATCGTATCTATATGAGCCATTGCCAAAACGTGGGGAAAAACACACACATCTCACAATAGTGTGCATAAAATGTGATGCATTAGTATTTATTCCTCCAAAACTTATACACACATCAAATATAGGATGTAGAACCTGCATTAGCAGTTTCAGACCCCTTGTCAGCTTTACAATCTTGAGTTTGTAAATTTTGTGCCAAAAATGTTCGTTTTTTAGTGATTCCTTGAGTGTCATTTTGAGCACACCAATGCAAACTTCCAAGAATGTCCAAAATTTAGTATTTTTGGGTGGGTTTTTTTTACGTGTGCTTCGATCCTATGTTATTTGTCATTGAGAAAGGTTAACTTGCTCAAGAAATCGGTTCATTTGTTTGCAAATAGACGAACAATTCGGATTACTTGTGCGTCTGTCATGTCGTCACGGACTAGGTGTTTCAGAAAACACCATTATTTTTCAGTAGAATCACCGTAGCTGGTTAAATCTCTTTGCCTATCGTCGTTTATTCAATACTTCAAAAGCCGCGATGCGCGAAAGGAACATCGGGTTCCTAGATCTACGATTTCGGTCGGCTGTTTAACATTCGCCGTTATTGTCGTCAACTTGCGACGTGCCGGAAGTCCGAATTTCGCCCACTTTTGTTTTGAACGTGTCATCAACAGTGCCCGGATATAATTGTTTTCTTGAGTGACTTCCCCTTACCCGCGTCCCCAGAACAACGGAAGCAACGGGGGGAACAGAAAAACGAAAGTAGTCATTGCCTTCAGCGTCCGGTGACGCACAAGAATTTTGAGTTGAATGTGACGTACTGGGCTGTTATGCGTGTTTTTATGCTACTCTGTTGAATATTTTAGTGAAATTGCGGTGTTTACACTGGATTCCTGGAGCAAGAGTGTGATGTGTGAACAAACTTCGAGAGATGGATCATTTCTGTGGTTATAGATTTAGCTTTTGTGCTCAGTGATGACGTTTGGGGTGTCGTCATGCAGCCGTACAAGACTGACTAACGTACAAGAAATTACATTGTCCTAAGAGCAAACATTTTTTAAGTAATGTGTGCTCTCTTTACTCAAACAAATAAACAAACATGTCCTTGTTTATCTGTCTAACTCAAAAATACACATTTGTTCTTTGTTGGTATGATATACCTTTTTCCAATACATTGTGTCATCATTGTTATGTACAAGTAATATTTTTCATAATTGCTAATATCAATAAGTTTTCAACATATATTTCATACATGCAAGATTCATTTAGAAGCAAAATACGCCTTTATTGATCTGTGTATCTCTTGGTGCAAATTTGTTCTTTGTAGGCATGATTTGACCTTTTCCCATCACTGTTATGTACGAGTACTGTTTGTCATAATTAGCAACATAATTGTGATCGTCCACTGTCTTTGATATGACCTGGTATTTGTTTCAAAGCAAAAGAAACCTCTCCTGGTTTTTTTTTAATTCTTAAAGTGCGCTTTTATCTCTAGAGGCAAGACTTTTGTCTTTTCCTGTACATTGTGTCATCATTGTTATGTACAAGTCATGTTTGTCATCACTGTTATGTACAAGTCAGCTCCACTGATTTTGTGCATTTGCTTCATATTAGTTTAAAAATTGTTTTACACATGTGTTTTTTTGGTACTGAGGCTTTGATAACTGTATTTGTACAGCCTTTCACTATTGTGATGTGTTGTCAATGATAATGTCCAATGTGTATCCTTTCTTGTACATAACAATGATGACATGTTCTGTGCACTGTGTCATTGTTACAAAGCTTGCCATTCATATTACCATTATGAATGGAGTTCATAGTGTACAAAGTGTTTGTTTACTAAACAAATGGAATTTAAAGTCTATAATTTGCCTTGCTGCTTATCTGTTTTTGTCATCACTGTTACATACAAGAAATACAGTAGTTGCCAAACCAATAGACCCATATCTCCAAAACCCTACATCTCCTTGCTCTGATACTCTAGGAATATGAGCACTAAATGCCAATCTGTGACTGACAGAAAAGAGAGTCAAATTGGTAAGAAATTTTTTTTTGCACCACTGAGTCTCAAGAGAGTCTCACGTTTTGGCAATTGCTCATATGACTTTCACCAACAGTTTCCTGTTGGGTTAACTGTTCCCGGTATTTTATTACATTGGGTCTGTCTTTCTGCCTCCCCTGTCCCCCACCCATTCAACGCCTTTGTATTCTTAATCACAAGTCATGTGTCGTCACATTTCGGCCAAAGTGACCCCCCCCCCCCTCTCCAAGGGAGGTCACTAAAATATCAAGAAATTGAGATGACTGCGTCCCTTCCTCTTTCCCACAAAGGTGACTTAAGCTTGTGTCCTACAAGGGATCTAGGTCTGTGACTCCTATGTCCTCCCTATGGAGTACTTACCCATCTCTGCCTTTGCTGATGACCTTCACTTCAAAGTAGTAGACCCCGCAAGAGGCTGGGATGGGGTGGGTAGCACGGACACTGGCAGCATCTTTGTGGGTTTTGCCAACACCTAAGAGAAACAAACAGGACATGGATAACTTGTTTTAGTTCCAGAGTTTTACTGCACTTGCAACACAGAGAGGTCATCAAAGAGCCACAGAGTAGAGGTGTTATTACTACAGCTTGTTCACTTTCGTCGGACCGCGGTTAAAATAAGGTCAAAAGAAATCGCTCTGTTCAATCTTCTCAGATCTCTGCATACTGGTCAAAAAGTTGGATGACCTACAGATACAGAATCTAAAAGCCCATTTCAAACTAACATTCTGACCATTTTTTTAATGTTAGCCTTGATCAGGCCAGAAAAAAATATATAAAAAAATAGGGGATTTACAGCATACACCTAAAACATTAAAAATTTGACATATTTTCCTCAACACCACACTTTAACATATGTCGAAGAAACATAATTCAAGACACAGGGTGAGAAATTTTCAAGATTCATGTGTAGAAGCCTAGAGAGCTGCAGGGTGAAATTGACAAGCATACACAGAAATGTGGGGGCAGGGTGGTGTCACTGTCTCAAAATGAGAATTTTGTAGGCTAGGTTACTGTAAGTAATTTATTTTAGTGATCCTGTGTATGCATCCAAAGAGCGGTTTTTAATATAGGGCCCAAAGAGAAATACATTTTAATTACTGGATCAAGATATTAAAAAATAACTTTTTTGGGTCGTTGGCCTGCAGTCCCGCTTTGGAAATGGCCTAAAGACACTTCAGTCAGTGGCATTGCCCCGGGGGATATTTATATTAGTCAGAGATCAAAGAATAAATTCAAATAATTATTTATTATTTTAAGTACATGGTAACCAAGCAAACATCCGCTTTTGGATAATTTCATCAAATTTCAATAGCTATTTTCTCTCTTATTTTTCGTCCGCTAGCTTTCATTTTTTAGTAAGTACAAACTACAACACCTATGTAATGAACAAATAACGCCAGATTTGTAATATGATAATTATGGCTCTGGAAATATGTACTATGGACAACCAACCAAAACACTGATTGCAACTTTATTTTCTATTTATCTTTAAAAAAGGCTCTATTTCAGTAAAGGTCACCTATGGACAAACATAGTGTAAAAATATGAAGCCATTCAGAATAGAAAATAACGGAGATGATGTAATTTGAAGTCCGAAAAATAAATATTTGATAGTAAAAAAAAAAGATATTTTAAAACAAGATCCAAAATAGCAAATTATTCTTTAAAACTCATTTTTACATGACTTCTAAACATAATTGATTGAAACAGGCGCTAGAAACTTCGGGGGAAATGGATGTAGGTTTCAAAAATAGAGAAAAAATATTGCATCGTCAAACTGGGTAAACATGGGGGAAATTTCACCCGCAGATGGCGCCTTAACAACTCAAAGTCATGTATGTGGGACAAGACGATCTTCTACATGTTATGAGCACTAAAACTATTAACAATCCATATATATACTTGCTAAACTAGTTTTACAGCATAATTAACATAATTTGGTCATGAAAGCGCCAACCATACAGACTTGTTTTTGTCGCATTGATGTTGGTAAATGACAATCAAAGTTAAGACAATGGACAGATACTTTGCAAAATGTAGATGCTTAAAAAGTATTAAAGCCCCCCCATTCACACAAATGAAGATTAGGGCTTCTCTGACCCTGCCAGTAAGGACAAACCAGGGTTAAGTGGGACACAGCATCTCAACAGACAGATATGAGATAATAAAAATCTACCTGATGCTGGAACTCACATCTTCCTCAAAAGTAAATAGCTTATTAAATATTACACAACAAATACCCCCCGAAAAGGAATCCACAGAAGGAATCAACTAAAGACTCATATAAATTGTCAAAGGGTACATAGAATAAAACACTTTTCTTGAACTTTATATACTACTCTTAGTACACATGGGTGTGGAAACAGAAGTATTTATTGATTGAAGTACTTGTCTAAAACAAATTAACCCTTTTTTAAATATAGCTCACAGCTCTTTTACTTCTCCCATTTGTGCTTAGAGTCGCATGAAAAAATCTTTAACTGATGACAATTGGTGTAAATTTTGAGGACCCATTAAGGATTGAACTCAATACTATGGGATAAGCTTGGGTCCAGACTTTTAAAACTTTTTATTTGTATAGTAAGGAATACCCTGTAGCTTTTCAAAGAAAATTTTTAGAGACATGATGCATTCATACACTAATGTATCATAACTAAATATAATAAATATATAGCACAAATGTATAGTGAGAATTCCCGCCCAACGGTAAGCTCTAGGCACTTTACAATCTGCAATGTATATCATTTACCCAGCAGATCTAATAGCATTCTGAAACAATCTCAACTCCAGGGAAGCATACAGTGCAAGCTGTCATTTTATAGGTGTTAAAACATTAACAAACATACTGACAAATATTATAATCAATTCTCACTCAAATCTGGATGCCATCCTTTATTGGAATAACATCTTTCCAGGGTTTACAATGAATGAGCCCAAAGGGCAGATCAACACAAAAGTTCAGAACAGAGAGATCACTTGATAAAAATGCAGTGAATCTCTGAATAGATGAGGAAAAATAAATTTAATTAATGGGACAATAAACATGGTTTGAAAGAACAAAGTTGAAAAAGTAGTCGGAACAGCCAAGACTATGCCTTGTCTTTAGTCAGTGTTCTCAAAAGATAATCAGAGTAACACGATCTCTGGTGATTGTTGGCATTAACACTGAACTACTTCACAAAATACGGTTCTGTTGTTTTCCTTTCTTTAATTTTTCACAAGCAATTCTAGATGATTCTCAAGAAGGAGTATTTCATTATTCGGTAATCATTTGAAAAACCATATCAATTAAATAATAAAATGGTTGGTGGTCAATCCTAGAATCAATTTTTAAAAATTAAATAGCTTGAAATATGAAGCCTAAGATAAAACTAAGAATTTGTCCATTGTAACAAGAATTATGCTTATTCTTATCAGTGCTGCCTCGCCATTTGAAGAGAACAGGCCAGAGTATCATCCACATTTGTGTTTGTATATCACACTTCAAGCAGGGGAATTCCTGAAGTAGTAAGAAAGAGAGAGAAAAAACAAAAAAAAAAACAACCCACCACAGACTGCTTTGAAGTCAGAAAACTGAAAAAACCCACTGCTGCATTAAGTCTAAAAATGAAATCAATGAAATTTTCGAAAATGTAGGTCCTTGCCACATTATACAACCTTCTCAGACTGGCTCATGGTACATTACAGATGAGGAATGGTCAGGTTGGTACAGTGGAACTTGGATTCAACGAAGTCGTTGGGCCTGAGCTTAAATTTCGTTGAATCTCAGTGTTTGTAATAGCAAACATGAGGTTTTTGAGCAGATAGTTACGGGAACCAAGCAAACAATGTATACTGTACTCGACTTCCTTAAATCAAATGTAGTTCGGTTTCATTGTGGGAGAAAACAAAACGAAGCCATGTCACCAGGGGCTATTCATCCGGCAGGCAACTTCATTAAATCCGAGCTTGCTCATTTATATATATTTGTTGAATCCAAGTTATTTTTATTGATGTTTAGGATTTTAAAAAAGGGGGAAATTCAACTCTTTTCCTTGAATCCGAGTTTTCACTGAATCGAAGTTCCACTGTACCACAAGGTGTATTACTACAGGTGAGGGAGTGAACAGTCATGTTTGTACCCCTCATACGTTTCAGACAGAAAGGGGAAGCATAACAATCATGTCAGAACCTCAGGTTAGTTACAAGTAGAAAAGAGACACAACATCATATTTGCACATCTGGTTGCACTTAGCAGCAAATACATTACCATTGGCAAACCCAGACTTGTGGCTTAAAATTGGAAACTTACTCTCAGATAAAACAATCATTAAGTGCATTTTCTAGACACATTTTGGTAGAAGTGAAGATGAGGACTCCGTTTGAACATACTTGACCTACTATACACGTCTGGGGTCTCCCCCCTCTGTGGGACCAATAAAGTGGTAACTATGATAATGTGCAAAAGATAATTACACCATTTTAAGAAGGGAGACTTCATTAAACTTTTGTCAATCTATTTCCGTACAATAGATAATTATGGTCTTTGGGGGGGGGGGGGGTTAAGTTTTAGGACGCTTGCAACTGCATAAGGTCATATGAGCGTGCAGGACACATTAAACATTTTCAGTCGGTAGGAAATTTTGAATTTAGCCCGCGTGGCGGCCGAAGCCTACTCTTATCTATTTTAGACCACCACAGATTCTTTAATGTGCGCAACTTGCACACGGGCCCACCGAGATTTTTCGTCCTTGTCCGAGTAGGCTAGGTGTAGATCTTTCCTACCAAAAGATCAGGGGTGTGGCTGAAAGACAGCAGTAAGGAGCCAAAGAGTTCCTACCAAAAGATCAGGGGTGTGGCAGAAAGACAGCAGTAAGGAGACAAAGAGTTCCTACCAAAAGATCGGGGGTGTGGCAGAAAGACAGCAGTAAGGAGCCAAAGAGTTCCTACCAAAAGATCAGGGGTGTGGCTGAAAGACAGCAGTAAGGAGCCAAAGAGTTCCTACCAAAAGATCAGGGGTGTGGCTGAAAGACAGCAGTAAGGAGCCAAAGAGTTCCTACCAAAAGATCAGGGGTGTGGCTGAAAGACAGCAGTAAGGAGCCAAAGAGTAGTAGAAAGGCTGCAGAAAGAGTCAGGAGCCCAGAGGAGGGTGCAAAGGAGGAGAGGGGGTGGGGGAGAAAGAGGAGACGAAAGCAGACGACACAACATTGCTAGAGAGCAGGAAACGAGGTGAAAAGAGACAATTTTAGCGGGACCTTTGAATGAATGAGAGGCCAACACCTTAACCTCTAGGCCACGAGAGCCCCCATTTATGGTCTTAGTAAAAACAAATTATACTTTTTCTAATTAGCTCCTCTACACATCGCCGATACAAATATATAATAACTTCTGGAAAACACATTCGGAAGGGCAAATCAGCAGTTTGAACAGCATCCAAAGTTTGCTTCTTTATGTCTTTCGTAACATCAGCGAACATCAACATTCAGTTACCTT